GACAGAAAATTACTATATTTTCAATGAATGGGTATTAAAACTGTTACAATTCAAACGACCAATGGGATACTGACTTGGACTGGTAGGGGTTGAGGCTGGCGATGGGGACGATTTTGGAGCTTCCTCCTGGAGTATCAGGCAAAGCGGAAGGAATCTTCTTTGTGAAGTCTCTCTTCAAATTTCTGACAACACCTAGAGAAACAAAGAGGAGAAAAAAGGAATAAATAACAAAGAGAAACAAATAACGAAAGAAAGACAAATACATTATTCATCACAAATCCCAAAAATCTAATTCCCTTGGAATGCAGCTGCTTGATCGGCGTAATTATCCCACTTCACAGGGGGAAGATCTAAACGAAAAGACGCAGCACTTCAAAATTCTACCGACTTGACTCCCGCCAAGCGCGGCAATTGGAACAACAAATGAGGATGTTATTAAACCAGCTGGCCACAGATATGTGAGCCGGCATTTTAGGTGAGACGCATGATTCACGTTGCCACAGAATCGGAGCCAAGCGCGAAGCACTGCAACAAACCTGAGCAGCTCATTTGATTTGTGTGCGTCTCACATGGAGGATTAGAGTTCAAAGTGTCCACTTAAGTCCTCCCACTTTGCAAACCACTGCACTTCTGGTAATTAAGCCCCCCACTCCTCCCCAGATCAAGCAAGCGCACTGAGAAATGAACAATGACTGTGCTGATGATGACCAGGACGGCTGCCACAATCTTAATTCCCCACAAGGCAGATTTGAGGGATGAATACCTCTCATGACACACGTGGGGGAACACGGCGAAACCACGGCGACGGCTGGATTTCACATGTCTGCAGGTTAAAATTGTTAGAAATTATGCTTGATGCGACCACCTTGTCTTTCACGGATAAGTTAATGTTCTGACCTAATCCACACTTTTGGACACTGCCATTCAAACCAAGGTGTATAAAATATAATGACTGCACACACAGGTGTTGATGGATACGCTTTTGCAGACAGGAAACCAGATGGATAGGGTGAATTTCACGGCAAAACAAAAATATTTCCACAAATTAAAAAGGCAAATATTTCTACAAGGGCTGTCAAAATTATTCCTGTCATGAGGATCTTTAGGTCACCTCTCTGCGACGGACAGCTGCTGCCACCTGGTGGCCATTTTTTGATAGTAATTTGATTTGTTGTAAATTTTTTTAAAATGACATTTTCCTAAATTTTATTTTTGTCAAGGAGATTAAAAGCAAGCTTTCACTCACCTTCATTTCTGTTTTGTGGCTGCAGAGGTCCTCTGCTCTCAGGGACTGGAGCTGGCTGTGGGCCTTTGCTCTGGCCTGATGGGGAAATTTACATTAAAGCCATTAGAATTAACTTTATTGTCCAAAATTATGTGCACAAAAACATTTTGAATTTGATTTCAAGTGCTCACTCTGTTACAGAAATGAAGTATAATATAAATATTTTAGTACTATAAATGCAAACGATGTACAGAAACATTTTTTAAAGTGCAATAGAGCAAAGGAAATGAGAAAGAAAAAAACTCAAATGTAGCCCAAACATTATTTTTGTTTACACATTTGTAAATAGGAAAGCAGTGATGTCTGTCATCATTTTTATGCATAATCACTCCGTCATGACAGCTTAAATGAGAAAATGCTCACCATCAGAGTAAGGAATCGGGTCTCCTATTTTACCAGAAGCGTCAGCACGTTTGACGACATCAATTTCTAAAATGATCACCACTCGTCTGTAAAGACAGAAAATACATCAGAATAGTAGGGGGGGAGGAGGGAAAGGGTGAGGGAGGGAAGCAAGGAAAGAAGAAAGGAAACAAGGAAAAGAAAGAAAGAAAGAACGAAAGAAAAGCAATATTTCCGACAAAATCTATAGCGACAACTTCATACCGTCCGTCTTTGAGCATATTCGTGACCTGCCTCTTCAGGACGCACACGCAGTTTGGAGCCAGAATGTTTTCCTCGGCCATGTAGTTGAGCTGAGTGGAGAGCATGAAGGCTGCAGGGGTGCAGAGACATGCAACAAGAGAGGAAAGCATGAACTGTAAATCCTACTGTAGAATCACTTTCACATTTCAGATGAGATTTAAATGTGAATCTTTTTTTTTTTGGCAAATAAACTTTACCTTAAAAACTAAATTTAAAAAAATAATAAATATCAACTAACAAGAAGGCTGGGCTTATACCCCTAACCTACTTCCTGGTGGGTCAACAACTTCACATCCAGCTGCCTCTATATTAGACATCTACAAAGGAAAACTATGAGGAAGCAACAGAGTAATTGAGTGTATAATGTTTTTGGCAAATCCTGATCAAATCAGTTTCTGATCAATTATTGGAAAGCATATGTCCCATCACAGAACATTCAGATAAAGTTGTTTGGAAATGTAGCTGATCTCAAGCTTACAGTTCACATACCTATATCCTTTCATCCCACAAATGGAAACGAATCGCATTCAAAACTTTCGAGCGAAAACTAAATTAGAGACAAAATAACTTACATGACAGTGTGTGTCGTCCATCGCTCATCATCACCCTGAAGCGAGAGGGCCCACTGCCGCCATCAATCTTGCGAATGTTCTGAAAGTTAATGTAAAAACTGTTGACTACAAAATGGCAGTTTAGCAAAAATTATACTTCTCAAGCAGAACAAGAGGGGGGGGGGGGGAGTCATTACAAAACACTGCTACAATACCGTAAACCCTGTAATAGTTACTGACAAGAGGCTTTGGACAACCAGATATTCCCGACTGAAATAAACCTTGTCAGAAAAAAGACAACAAAAATGGTGGATTCAGCAAGAAACAATTAATGGGGGTGGGGTGGCACAAATTTCAAAATTCACTAAATCAGAGGGTTAGTATGAAAATATCTGGATGCATTGAAAACTCTTTGAGGGCAAAGACTGAGATTAATCAATCTGATGGCAAAATTAGACACACAAGTTAACCCATATCTCCATTTAAAAAAAAATTTAATTGTTTGAAAGCTCTTCTTGCATGCAAACATTTCTACTTTTATCGTGCAACTTCTTTTTTTATAATGTTGATAACTCATCTTTCCCTTCAAAATGTGTTGTTTACCGACTGGTAGATATGGTTCAGTTAAACCAATCAAATGTCTGGATTAAAGTCATTCTCATGGCATTTCGGCTGTAGCATAAAAAAGTTTTTTTTACTCACCACCAGCTGAAGCACTGCTTCGTTCCAACCGCTGCCATTTGCTAAAGCCTTAAAAATCATTAAGGGGAGGGAAAAAATATTTTCAGAAATATCTCAACACGTAGACACACGTTTTTCACTCAAATTAACTTCTTTCTTGTTCGACCGTAATTTGGGTTGAGTTTGTTGTATCTTCCAACATGACTTTTTAAGACATATATATAAAAAAGTATGTCCTGCAAACAAATTAATGTCAGCTTGATGTTGTCGACAACAAAGACAGTTTGGACATAATTCGGACATGAAGAACCAAAACACTCCACAAACCCTCGTTGTCAGGTCGGTTCGGTTTTATAACTGGACCTTACCTCTATGGCGCCCGTTGAAAGACTGGCCATGACTGTAAGGAGGGAGTTTAGTCAGAAAATACGACTTAATTTGACGACTAGCAGACAAACAGGTCTACGAAGCACTAACAAATGAAGCCAAACTGCGTCTGAGGCGCCAAAAGCTTTGACAAGAACGCGCGCGAAGAGTTGAGCGCGTCGTCAGTTTCCGTTTCCGCTCGCTGATCTAAGGTCAGCCGAGAATCATCCGGAGAGTTTAAACACAGCTTGGAGTCTCAGCGAAACTGACCTGAGACCGGCCGCGCCAACCAGGCTGTGACGTAAATATTTTTTATGTGGTGCGTTCAGGGAGGTAAGGAAACAGGCTACTTTAAATATAACATATTCAAAAAAAGATGTTTGTGCTTTTTAAAAAAATAAGTAGTAAAAAGGGAGGTGAAACACTGTTACTCGTGATTAATTATAGGTCATATAGAGTCGTACGATGTAGGGTAATAAGTTTACTAATTTCGTGTTAGATATTCAATATGAAATAAAACGAATCCTATTGGGATTTTTAAAAATGATGTATTTTAAATATTTTGCTGTTCATTTTTATGCTAATTAGTAAAACTTTTTTCTGACGATAATATTTAATAACACCAATTACAAATATTTATATACAGAAATAAGCCCCTGGTGTTGCCCACACAATCGTGACAAAAGTTTGCTGGTTTGACAGCAAACAACAGTTGATAACTTCCACAGTGATAAGACACAAAATGTCACTGCTAAAGGGGCAAATGGCTCACACAATTGGTTAATAATTGGAAGGAAAAAGTGTTTAAAAAAAAAAAGGCGAAGAGAGATGGTCACTAATCACAGCCACTCAAGAGTTTGGGTTAGATTCACAAGGCGTGGGCTGCCCAGTGGGCAAAGTCCCATTTTCAGATAAAGGTAAATTTTGCATTTTATTTGGAAAGCCGTCGATGTTGATGTGTGTTTTAGCAAGTCCAAAGTCAACTCAGCTGTTTGTCAGCAAATTCCAGAGAACGTCGTGCTTCTTTCCAATGGAAATGCTGATTTAATTTCCCAGAGTGACTCGACTCCAGTACACACTGACCCAATGAAGTATTGACAGAATCAACTCTACAGTCCATGTGTTTCACTGCAACCACATCACTGAATTGGAGAACCTCTTCATCAGCCTTCTAAAGTATAAATCATTTCTGTATTGGTTTTCAGCATCTGTACACAACCATTTAAACTAATGCATGTACAATGATTTGTATAAATGACAGGAAACAGACATTTACTGGATATCCATATATTTTGTACCACATCACTAAAATATATGATAATGATGTGATTTATTTAGATACACAAACTTTTTATTTCATGTAAAATCACAACTCGTAGCCATGAAGGGATTCAGATTGATACATTTATTTACCTGCAACATAAATTGAAAAAAAAAAAAAAATCCAAGAACATACAGAATCAAGCTGTAACTTTAAAATTTGCTGCACTGCTAAAACACAAAATCTTAAAGTTTTTTTTTTTTTTCCAGTTTTCAGTGCAAATATCTTAGTACACATGAAATAAGATTTTAAAAAATAACTTGGTAACATTTCATCCTTTCCATCAAAAATTCTGATGGAAAGATGCCAGTTTCACTGGCAGATTATTTCACTCATAACAAGGGAAAATGTCTTGGTAAAACTGAAATAATCTGCTATTGGAGCAGATTATTTCTGATCCAGAAGCAGAAATAATCTGGTACTGGTTTTCATCAATATTAAGGAATTACTGACTCAATCCAAACTCCTATGACTCTGTGAAAAGTTACTTGTAAGTTAGTTTTAATCTTATTTCAACTGTACTGAAATATTTGGACTAAAAATATCACTAAGATATTGGTAGGATTTTTTGGTTTTTGCAGTGCAGACATGTTGACATCATAAAGAGTCCAAGTGGTATGAAAGGAAAACCTCAGCATAATATGACACTCCATCGTGTATTTACTTACATTTTTCAAATTCCTTGGGATTGGCCCAAGGGTCAGGGTTATCCTATTTTCCACCGTGTGGAAGCAAGAGTCCTGGAGTTTAGGGATGAGGTGGTGGTTACATTTTTGGCAGACAGAATTGATGGTTTAGCTAATCATGCTAAGGTTTTGCTTCTGTGGAAAGTTTAAACGGTCTGAAAAGTTTAGGAGCGCCACATGAATGTCTGCGTAAGGGAAGGTGTCCTGAGCCGCGTTCAGGAGCGTGGTGAGCAGTTTTTGAATTTTTGGTCCCTGTAATCCTTGTTGTTGATGCCAAAGGAAAGCTGGACTTTTTTGGCATCATTGGAGGCTCTAGCTTGTTTCAGGATGTGACTGGCGACATTGAATTGAGCACCAGGGTAGCAGTTGACCTGCATGTCTGGGTGCATGAGTTTGGGCAAGTTACTTTGTTTCAGAAAAGTAATACTGCAGACAGAGGCAATTATCTAACTGGTTTGAGTTTTCTTGGTGGGGGCAAATGATTTTAGTCTCTATTTAGGATTAAATTCAAATGAGCCCATGTGATTCTTGTCAATTGGGAATCCTACTTTATCTTTACTTCCAACATCCCCCCTCTGCAGGACAGGGGCTCCGGGATTGGGGTTATTGATGACACCCATGAAGATTGGTATGAGAGTTACATCATCCATTAGCACAAAGAAGAAAGGCTGACTGAGGTGAAAAATAGGATTGGATGCCCTCGAGATGACGGTCGTTGTGGCTGCGGCAGCCCTCGCCCCGTCCTCATTTATCTCCATGCCAGACTTGTGCATTACACTGGACACCAGCAGGGGGCCGTCAGCAATCCCACCCAAATTGGGATTCAGGAACATCTCCCCAAGACCTGAGATAAAACCAGCGATTAGAGAGGTGCTTTATAGCACCCTTTGTTTTACCAGAGCTTCCAGAGGTGAGAAGATTACATCTTACCTAGTTTGGTAAGAACTTCCTGCAACTCCTGAGAATATTCCAGCTTGAATTTGGGAACTTTAACTTGGACAGCCCTCTCTTTGGGTAGACGTTCATACAAGTTGGAGATATTTAGGTTCGAGGAAAATAAAGACACGTTCACTTTCCCCGACTCAGGCATGATAACCAGCAAACTCATGTCCTTTGTGAATGGGAATCTTGCCACCTGCACACAAAGAGAAAGGATATAGTAGTTTCTTAAAGGGGCAGTTTTATGCATTTTCCAGGCACTTTGTGCCATTTCATAGCATAATTAATTTACTATGTTGACTTCAGTTGTTTTAAAAAATTCTATATATATCCAATATGACTTAAAAGAAATTTTACTTTGTAAATAAACTCCTTCAAATTGAGCCTCCGTTACTTTAAAAAACCCTTCAAGAAGTCATCACAACTTAATTTCTCTATTAACCTTTTATAGACATTTTCAACTGCTGAGAAGTAGTTCATATAAAGCACATGCGCATAGTTTTATATGCACATATTCTCATATAAAGAGCACATGCGCAGTTCCATCGGGTGTTTGCTAATTGCTGCTGGCTAGTCTGAAGGAGCTGAGAGGAAGAGTCATGGGGGGAGGAGCTTGGAGGCTTGTCAACTACGTCTCAGAGGAGCTGCTGGTGTTTTGCACAGCTGAATGGTTGCCATTGGAGACAAAAGGATTTCTCAAACATGCATGAAAGAATCAAAGCAACACTCCAGGTATGTTTTTGATGAGGGAATATCATGAAACTCAAAAAAGCTGGTTGTACCAAACACTGCCCCTTTAAGAGTTTAATTCTAAAGTGAGTTGGACACATTTTTACACCTGCGTCATTTTACATCAACATTGTTTTTGGTTGTTTTTAAACTTTAAAAAATTGAGAAATCCAGAACTGTAAAGCAGATTTGCAGTTGTTCTTTGGCATTTAGTAACAGTTGGATGCTCTTTTACAATATTTTCAGTTTTACTATGCATGCCCATTAATCAACTTATGCGAATAGACATGTATGAGAACATATCACCTACTCTATGAATTACAGAAAAATAGTTCAAATATCATTAATGTAGCAGATTTACTTTTTCTTTAATTTAAGATAAATAATTGTAAATCGAATCCCCCTAATAATGTGTAGCTGACACGTTTTGGAAGACTAATGAATACATAGAGCAAACAGAGAGGTATTAAAACTCTGAATCCAAAAATGCTTCGGTCCAAATGCCTTACCTAATACCTATTATTGCACAAATAAAATATAGATATTTTATGAATATTTAATAGAAAAACATATGAAGATGCAGGAAAAAAAAGATGCTGAATTTTAGCATTCTTTTGCACCTAATTTAAAAACAAATTCCCAGAGACCCTGTGTGGTGGATGCTCCTACCACCAACACACGGTGTTAGTATTTATTTTCTCTTTATATTAGTTACAGTTATGTTAGTTATTTCATTTAGACATATATTTGCTAATGGGTGCACACTTTAGTTAATATCTGTCTGAATAGTTTATTTATATTTGTTTTTGTTTGAGGTGCTGTTGTCAAACCATTTGGAGGAGAGACCAGGAACAAACCATTTTCTAAGAGACTGGAGGGGGAGACTTGTTTCAAGTTGATTTGAATTTAGTTAATTTCTTCACTTAAATATTCACTTATTATTCATGCTAAGTTAAAGTTTGTTTTGTTTTATTTGTTTTATAAAATACTTTGGTTAATTTTGTATTTGTTTGTTCTTTTGTTATGTTGTGTCTCCCTCATGTGGTAGCTTTAGGAAACTCCACCCCTATTTAAGCAGCCTTTTGTTCTTTGTTGGTAGGTCAGTTTTGTTTTGTTTGGTTAGAGTTCAGTTGACCTCAGTTAAGTTAGTTTCAAATTTGTTATTCTTTCTTTTTGTATGTAATTGTTTCTTGGTTATCATTTTTTGAAGAATTAAATTGAAATCTTTATATTTTGAACACTTTTTTTTGTCCTCTTCACACCCTGAAACTTCAGAAGGTGTACTTTACCTGAGCCTCCAGCTCACTGTCCATGAAGAAACTCAGCTGATGTTTGGCATCGTCCATCATGTCAACATCCACCAGGTGCAAATCATCAAGGTAAAAGACGCCTTTGGAGGTGAAGTTCGGGTCAAATCGAGCTTTCCATTCTCCTGTCAGACACACGGGGAAATAGGATTTTCATTTTTAGTCAACAGCATCTTTCAAACCAAAAATACTTTATGAAGAAACAGTAACATTTTTTGATAGCTCAGAGAAGGAAAATGTAATTGATAACGCTCTTAAAGGCATACAGACATATATAAAAGCATCAGAATTTCATCAAAAAGTTCATTTTATGGATTGGGATTATAGTCTCAATCACAAAACTTACCAAAAATGAACACTGTGTTGATAAGCGTAAGAGTTTCACTTTATCGGTTAAGTAAATGAGCTTTTCATTGATGTTCATACATATTAATACGTCTGTTAGTTTGAAGTCAGCATGTTGGCCAATCACCTTTGAAGTAAACGGCATTGATGAGCATGAGAAGTAGATTGGGTGGCAAAGAAGACAGGAAGTCCATCATTTTCCCCTCTGTTGCATTCTCTACCCACTCATTTATTTGCTGAAGGCTTTCCACTATTGCTGGTTCCGAGTCGTAAAACCGCAGCGACTCGCTCACAAACTCCTCCTTTCCCTTGAACCCTAAAAAGAAAAACAGGAAAAAAAGTCCAGCTTTTTTTTTCTTTTTTTGCTCGAAATCAGAACAAAAAAAAAGGGGCTAACCTTGACGCAGAAACATGCGCGTGGCAATTTGCACGTCGCTGTTTCTCAGCTGCGTTAAGACGTGTCGCAGAGACTCGTGGTAACACGGCACGGTGTTTTCATGCAGGTGGTACATCAGCAGCTCTTCCGTCTCGTTTTTCGCACCTTTAGACAAAACACAAATCCAAACTGCAATCTCAACTACGCCACAACACAGCAGGCCAATCCAGCAGAGGTGGTAAGCGGTTTCTGCCGTACCTAAAGCCAGTTGCGAGAGGGCCAGAGATATGCTTAGAGGAGAAATGATGACATTTGGCTGCTCTGGTGTCGTCTCCAGGTTTTGTAAGAGCTTCACCCCCAGTCTCTGAATTGCAGCAGTGATAGTTTGTTTGGTGTCAGGGCGTCGGCTGATAGCCTGACAACTGTCTCCCTTTTCTTCATCTGGCGACGTCTTGTTTGCCGACGTCGCAGTAACAGTTGTTTCGTTTAGAGTTGTTGCCTCCGGTGTCCCCTGGCTTTCACCTTCCTATAAGCAGAAGCGACAAAACCAGGATCCTCACTGAGCGCGCAGCACAAGAACACAATACGTAACAAAGCATTTTTGGCCTAGTTTTTAAGTGCAAATATCTTAGTGCACTTAAATTAAGACAAAACTAACTCGGATGTAACTTTTTCAGCAAGATAAATGAGCTCGTTGTAAGTCAGTTCAATTCATCGCAGTTTAATTATGAAGCGCCAAATCATAAATTTCGTCTCGAGGCACTTCACAAAAAATTAAAAAATTCAGTCAATCCAGATGATTTTAGTTCTCAAACAGTTAAAAAAAACTCAATGAATTACTCAAAGTAGTTTGGCTTTTTTTCCACTTAAAACGATTTCCTGTTTTAGGTGACAAAAACAGTTTTTGTTTTATTTCAAGAATTAGTCATTTAAAATATTTGTCTTGCTTAAAAAAAAGAAACACCTTTAATTTAGTTTTGCCTTATTTCAAATGTACTAAAATATTTGACTTACGAACTAGACCAAAAATACTTGGGATGATTTTGTGGTTTTGCAGAGTGTTAAACATAAATTTCTCAACTCTTGCAGAAAAAGTTACTTTTAAGTTAATTTGCCCTATTTGAACTGGTCACTAGACCAAAACTACTTGGTAGAAACTTGTGTTTTTGCAGTGTGTTAAACACAAGGTACTTACTTCTATGGGTTGACTGGGGTTTAGAGGAATTAGGGGGATGGACTGATCTTCTGCCACTTCAGCATTCTGTCAAGAACAAGATAGCAGAGGACAATGGTCTTTCAAAGTTTTCCGTGATCAATGCAGATTTTTTTTTAGACATTTTTAGTTGGGTTGTTTACAGTAGTTCCTAGACTGCAGAGACAAATTAACAGGAGTGTCAGGCAGAGGTCCATATCCAAGAAAAGTAACTGAAAGAGAAAAAAAAATATATATATATATATATAATACAAGGTCATTGTGTTATACAGTAAATTATCACTAAATATTAGTCTCGCTTTCTAATTTCAGCAAAGCATAAAACATTACTAGTTTCTTCACAGCTTCATCATGGTTGTAGTTATTTGTCTACAAGCTGAAAAACTTAGTTTAATTCATTTTAAGGAACACAGAAGCATTCCTCCAGACCAATAAACTGCAGCAAAAGTAGTTAAAACTTGAACCAAATCAATCTTCAAACATAAATCTAGATAAAGCGCAGAGAAGAGATTAAACGTCAAGTTTGTCTGAAGCATTTACATACAAGCACTGTACGCTTTGAACTTCCTCAGTCTGAAAACGGGGAGCAAAAACATTTTGAATTGAGGATGAAATTTAAAATACGTTTACCTTTTTTTTTAAATGACAAAGAAACCCTCCTGGCTTGTCTAAAACAAGGAGAACCTTCTGTGCGGTGAATGGCTGAATTCCCTGAGAGCAAAAAATTGGCAGTTGCTCAGCAAACGGTTAAATATCAACTAGCATTGATCGGGGAGGCGCTGCTCGTCCAAACCGCTGTTTGTCCTCGGTGAAACGACCACGCGCTTGAAAATGTGCGATTATTTCGCGTGCTCGCGGGCCGCCGATGTGACGAGACTTCGCCTCCCACGGGAAACACGACACAACACACCTGTTACAAAAGAGTGGCTAATCCCAACGCGCGCGCGGATAATCAAAATGTGCCGGAAGAAAAAAAAATGGCGACGTTTTTCGAGACGAGGAACAACGCGCGCGGGTTTTTCCCAGAAGGGCCCGGATTATGACATAGAAATTAAACATAATCTCGCTTCTGTGCCAAAAATATATAGCATCAATCATGGGAATCATGATGAGTCACACACACAAAAAAAAAACAACCCTGAAACACTGAAAAGATGGAGGCAAGTTTTTTATTAAACAAGTTAATAAATTAATGTCATCAACTCTTGTTATTTTTGTTTTAAATTCTGCTCCAAATGTTATAGCATATAGGTATCAGAACAATTTGATCTTTTAGGCAAGAAATTAAAAAAAAAAACGAAATAAAAGAAACTGTTGCAACATAAAAGCTCTAGAGTTATACAAAGTGCAGAGCTTTAATAGATTTATGCTACTTAGCTTTCAAAACTGGAAAGTTAAACTACATTTTGGACACAAACATTTATATAGATGTATACATATTCATCAGACACCTTTATTCCATAATATTTCTTTAAATTTATATAAAAAGGTGGCGATAAAAAACAAAGTTGTTTCTCTTGGCCTTGACTGTTCCTACAGTGCCTTAGAAATCTATTGAAACCTCTTGAGTTTTACATATTGTGAAGTTACAACCAGACACTGTATTGTACGGTCTTAGGGTTTTATAAGACAGATCAAGATAAAGCAGTTTATAATTGGAGGAGGAAAATAATTCATCTTTAGCAACTATCAGGAAATGGGAAGACATAAAGCAAAGGTCGTAAAGTCTGGAGCTGGCCGCTACATCGTTCACCATTTTCCAAAGTTGTTTTGTCAAATTTTCTCTTAGTAAGAGCAGGAAACAAAGGACAAAGCAGCTGAAAAGGTGGTTGGATTCAAACAATCCTAGGAGGAAAACCTGTTAGATCCTACAAAAGGCATTAAATCGGACTTGAGGTTCAACTTCCAACACAATAAGGCAGGAGGGGAAGGAGAGGGAGGGAAAGATCAACCAGATCTATAATTTAGATCTGAGCGTATTTGTGCATTACAATGACTCAAAGCTCAGACCTAAATCTGAAGTCTTTAAACTTCATTCATAAAAATTGAAGTTTAGAAACAATCAGGCTTTAGATAAAGTTAATTAAATTTGCTGCTGTAATGACAAATGATTGACCTACGAACGCTGAATACAAATGGAATCAATTTTTTTAATATATATTTATATATATATATATATAAACCTATTTTTGGGAAGTAATTCATAAACACCTATGAATTACTTTGGGTTGATCAATCATATTAAACTCCTAAAAAAACGTATAGAAGTAACTGGTTGGACGTGACAAATTTGGAAAAGCTCAGGAGGAGCAAATACTTTTGCAAGGCACTGTGTATCAGGTTTTGAAAGTCGAAAACTAAGGGGAAAAAAATGTGGTGAGTTTGGTATGCTGAGCAAAATCAGCATCTCCACACACACACACAAACACGACATAATGTCGCTACAGGGGTTAAAACATGGTCTTCATAATCCTGAAGAAATTTCAAGTAATCCATTTGCAGAATAAAAACATTCAGCTTAAAGAAAAAAAAAAATCAGAGTGAGACTCTAAAAATGCTAAAATTCAGGCCTTAATTGTGCAGTAGATTTCAAGGCTGTGTATCTAACATTTTGTCCCCCACCGCTGCCCTCCTCTGATCAGGCACGCCAACACTGTCATCACAGCGGCAGGTGTACGTTTATTATTCAGGATACACACACACACACACACACATACATACATACACACAGAGAGCTATGAAAACAGGTCTTTAAAAGAAAAAAAAATCATGGGAGTTGCAATAACAGAAATCACTTGCTCTACAAATACTGCATAGTTTTAATCAGTGCATTTGAATTGACTCGTTATCGTTGAGGAAAACGGCAGGTGAGGACGATTAATTTTTGGTTTTCTTCGGAAAAGTGTAAACTCTCCGTGAGACCTTCCTGAGCATCTGTTCCAATTTATTTATTTATTATGATTTATTCTTCAACAGCTAGCCTGGGTGAAAAAAACAACAAAAAAACAAGTGACCTAGTCAAGACAAGAGTTTGCTATTAAATAGTACACATCCACAAAGAAAGGGAGTAGATTTTGGTGTGCATGATGAATCTCGACGGCGTGGCGCACCGTCGGCTCAATAAATTCTGTGCTAGTAGGCAGGTTAGCATGATTCTGCAGATGCTAAAGAAAGCATTTTAAACCCAATCCAACTATTTCCTATGAGTTCAAATGGGGAGAGCTCAGCCTTAGACCGCCGCTCCTCTAATAAAAAGACACAGTAAATACCAGTGGAAAGAGTGCTTAGGTCAGCTACAGTCTACGGTTTTAAGCTAACAGCCTGATGGCGCCGTTGTCGGAGCCGAGCAGCAGCCTCTTGGTGGGCAGCACAGCCAGGCTGGTCAGAGTGCCGCGGAAGTTCTCCGTGCTCAGCTTTGTGCTGCTCACGGGGCTCAGGGAGATGTCGGCCATAGAGTACACCCCGATCTTGCTGGCCACCGTTCCGGTGACGATCTGTGAGCCGTACAGGTCGAAGGCGTGGATGTGGTCGGACTGCGACTTGTACTGGCGCAGCGGCTTGTTTTCCAGATCCTTCCACACACTCAGGGTGTAGTCGGTGGAGGAGCTGATCACCAGGTTTCCCTCTGCTGCCTGAAAAAGAAAAAAACGAGAAAGCAAGTGAAATAATTGGCCCACAACGGTAAAAGCTGCTCCCCAGACGTTTAAAGCTTAAAGCTCACTAAATTAAGTGGTTTGTTGAAAGGAATTTGAAAATAAAGACTTTATTTAGCTAGGTCAGTCAAAAACTTCCCTGCGAAAAACATAAACATCTGAGTAATTTCAATGTGCTTGTGAGCCATCAGTGTGTTCTTTCTAATGAGTAACCTATGTCCATATTTGCCTAAACTTGTACCTTCAAAACAAGAAATACAATCCTTGACCCAATTTGGGGTTAAATAAAGTTTGCGGTCTGTTGACAGCATATCTGCTGGGTACAACTTTCATCATCTCTGACACACTACACTGAGACGATCAAAATAAAAGAAACTTGGTCCAATATATGCTATAACAGGTTTTAGGTTGAGCTTATAAGGAGTATAACATATACAGGTCTTTTAGAGCAATTTGCACTATATATTTTTTATTTTTTTTAGAGCCAATAATCATGAAATGATTTTGGAGACAGTTAAAGAATAGAAATAATATATGAGTTAATACGTTAGAATTGACAGAGGTTGTATTTTCTTTTTACCATGACTATAATTGTACAAAACAGAGGCTGAATCACAATAAATAAATAAATAACTGTTATATTCTCATACACTAAAATCAGAAAACCACCGTATTTGATGAAATTATTGAAATATTAAATAAGGGGAGAAAAAAATACATTATGCCTTTCTATATTATATAATATTTCCTTGTTTTCTCCTGTATTAGTATATGTAAATTTGCTTTCTACTGTATGATATTGTGCTGCATTAAGTTTTAATGTTTTTTTAAACAGAGCTGTTGAAAATGAGTTTGTTCTCAAACATCTTAATTGATCAAATAAAATTTAACTCCTGCTCAAAAGAAGAAAAAAAATCACATGTACAAGAATACACAAGAAAACTAATCAAAATTTAAGACAAAATATAATACATTTTATGCCCTTAATTTTTGATTTATGCATTTAAGGCGTTTTAAGGACACACAAACATGATGTTTATTAAAATAATACTAATAAAAAAAAAACCAAATTTAATAATGAAGAAGCTGTTTTAGGCAAAATGTCACATTCACTATTTATATTTAAATATTTATCAGTGTGTGAGAATTTTTATGAATTCTATTGTGTGGAGACCATTTGTTTTACTCATGTACCTTGTAATTGCACTTTAGCAGCAAAACGTTGTTTGAATTGAAAGGAACTGAATTGAAATTCAACACAATATATGCAGTTTTCAAGCCCAGGGAAATAAAACCAGCTCGGTATCAATAATATTACAGTAAGCGTCTGTGGATTTTGCAAAGCCCTTTTATAGCCTCAGAATCTGTACTTCTCCATTGACTAGCAATAAAAAGAATAATCCAGATGAAACTGTCCTGTCAGCAATGGAAATCTACACAGGAAGGGTTACCTTCATTTGGAGAATGTCTCCTTCATGAGCTGGCCAGCCCTTCAGTATGAGGCCTGTGCGCGCGTCGAGCAGAACAATGAATCCTGAGGAGAATCCTGCCGCAACCGTGCGTCCTGAGGGGCTGACTGCCAGGTAGCGGATGAGCCCGGCGCTGACGTTGTTGTACGCCAACCGAAATTCGTGCTGCAGAGACACAGGAGAAGATTTGTCACTTTTGGCACTCGAATAACTCAGTCGTGAAGAAGCGGAAAAAAGCCCGCTCTTTCGAAAGGCACGGCGATGATTAATAGCCGCTGGGCGGTGAGCGGCTCGGGTCTCGAGAGAACGAGCTCTCCAAGTGAAATTGCTACCTGCAATCCAGGCTTTCGAGGATCAATGAAGCGGAGAACAGAATCTGCACTGCCAAACACAACGCTGCAGTGTGGCGCTGGCATTGTGGTGACGGCTGTAATTGGATTCTTCCCGTCCACGGCATCATAAAAACGGATTGACTTGCCTAAGGGAGAGAATACAAAAAAAAGGTAAATACACTGAAATAAAACAGGCAAGAAAAAAACGTGCAAACTCCCAAGAACAATTTAGTCACAAGCCAAAATGAATCACATAAAGTTTCTGCACCTGTATATTGGTCCCACACGTGGACAGTGCCATCGCAGCTGACAACTTCCTGTGAGGTCTCCAGCTGACCCACGTAGAACACGGACTTCCGATGCTCGCTGTACGTCTGCCTGGGTTCC